AAGGGCCCGAGGAGGTGGTGGCCCTGGTGCCCGGGGTTCTCGGGGGCACCCACCAGGCGGCCGAGGCCACCCAGGGCGGCGTCCCAAGGGGGGGGGACGTGGGGAGGTGCCACGGGACGTCCCCACGGGGGTCACCACGGAGATGGCAAGGGATGTCCCCACGGGGGTCTCCAGGGACGCCCCCCCAGAGCTGCCCGGTGCCCTCAGGGCGGTGCCCGCAGGAGGACCCCAATCCATGTCCCAAGATGGCCCCAGAAGGGTCTCCGAGGAGGTGCCCGGAGATGCCCCTGGAGAAGGTGGCCAGGGGGTCCCCACGGAGACCCTCGGCAAAGTCCCCAGCGGGGTCCCCCAGGGGGAAGGGTCCAGCCTGGTCCCCGAGGGCGTCGCCAAGGAGGTGCCAAGGGATGTTCTCCAGAGGGTCCCCAAAGGTGTCCCCAAGGAGATGCCAAGGGATGTCCCCAAAGATGTCCCCCAGGAGATTCCAAGAGATGTCTCCAAAGGCGTCCCCAAAGCTGTCTTTGGAGATGTCCCCGAGGAAATTCCAAGAAATGTCCCCAAGGGGGTCCCCGAGGAGGTTCCAAGAGATGTCTCCAAGGAAATTCCAAGAGATGTCTCCAAGGAAATTCCAAGAGATGTCTCCAAGGGGTTCTCCAAGGAAATTCCAAGACATCTCCTCAAGAGGGTCCCCAAGGAGATGCCAAGGGATGTCCCCGAAGGCGACCCTAAAGCCGTCTTCGGAGATGTCCCCAAGGAGGTGCCAAGAGATGTCCCCAAGGAAATTCCCAGAGACGTTCTCCAGAGGGTCCCCAAAGGCGTCCCCACGGAAATCCCACAAAATGTCTCCAAGGAGATCCCAAGAGACATCTCCATGGGGTTCTCCAAGGAAACTCCAAGACACGTCCTCGAGAGGGTCCCCAAGGGGGTCTCCAAGGAAATGCCAAGAGATGTCCCCGAGGAGATCCCAAGAGACGTCTCCACGGGGTTCTCCAAGGAAATTCCAAGACAGCTCCTGTCCCCGAGGAGACTCCAAGAGACATCCCCAAGGAAATTCCAAGAGACGTCTCCAAGGAAGCTCCAAGAGACGTTCTCCAGAGGGTCCCCAAGGGGGTCCCCGAGGAGATTCCAGGAGGTGTCTCCAAGGGGTTCTCCAAGGAGACTCCAAGAGACGTCCCCAAGGGGGTCTCCAAAGAAACGCCAAGAGATGTCCCCGAGGAGATTCCAGGAGGTGTCTCCACGGGGTTCTCCAAGGAAGCTCCACGACACCTTCTCCAGGGGGTCCCCCAGGGGGTCCCCGAGGAGATCCCAAGAGACGTCTCCATGGGGTTCTCCAAGAAGACTCCAAGACACGTCCTCGAGAGGGTCCCCAAGGAAATTCCAAGAGATGTCTCCAAGGAAGCTCCACGAGACCTTCTCCAGAGGGTCCCCCAGGGGCTCCCCGAGGAGATTCCAGGAGGTATCTCCAAGGGGTTCTCCAAGGAGGTCCCAAGACACGTCCTCCAGAGGGTCCCCAAGGAAATTCCACGAGATGCCTCCAAGGAACCTCCCCGAGATGTTCTCCAGGGGGTCCCCGAGGAGATCCCCGGAGGCGTCTCCACGGAAACGCCCGGAGATGCCCCCGGGGGGGTCCCCCCAGAAG